GTTCATGTTCAAGGTGTGACAAAAATCAGTCTAAAATATTTCAATGACCACATACATAATGCCAGTAGAAGAGATTGCATTTTTTTACTATTTTCTTAAACTTGACTACACGAGCCCAAATGTAAGTCATTCAAATGAAAATAAAAGCAGAAGGGATTAATCGTGTCTGGTTGTATCGATTATAACATTCGTTGGAGACTGAAAATAATCACACATTCGACTAAGACAAAAGTAATTCCGGAATAATTATTTCTATTATGGATTTCATGAACAAAAATGATTATATTTCGATATGAAACAATTTATTTGTAACAATCGTGATGTGCAGTCAGGAATTGATTCGTTAACAATTAGTTCATGCGTCAGCGTGCGTATGTCGAGATATTGAGCACGCGGGAAGTTTGGAGAGCATGAAAGAGGCGTAAGAGTTGCACGAGGCGCAGCCGAGTGCAACTCTAGCCTCTTGAGTGCTCTCCAAACTTCCCAAGTGCTCAATAACTCGACATACGCACAGCTGCAGCATGAACTAATTGTTTTATAACATCATCAAAGCGATCAATGCATCAGTTAACTTATAATTTTATTATTGTAGGGCGCGCTCAAAGCAGTACGCGTCAATGTTTACGTGACTATATATTTTTTTCCTCACAGTTAATCTTATGTTTTTATCCTGAAACTGAGAGAAAGTGTACTCTAAAATGATTATAAAATCCATATTTAGGTGCCGGAAAACTATTAATTTACCGAAAAATTGTTATTGAGAGAAAACAAGTTTGCAAAGAATGAACTCACGCCATAGCCCGCACAGCTCGCGGAGATGACAACAACAACAACAACAACACTCACCTCTTTTCCTTACTATCGGTTAACAAATTCAAACGTTTCCTCTTAAATTTCCTTATAAAACACATCGTAAACGCTTCCTTGTCTATTGCTGAGTTATGGATGCACTCAGGAGACTCAGGATTGCTAAGCTCAAAACCACTCGAGGAATTACGAATAGTTTATTGACGTCATCAGCGTGCTCAATAGGAATATGAAGCACGCACGCGCTATTGAATTTGATTAGGCGAATTTTCTAGCTATGTTATAATTTAATTTAATGCACTCTTAATCACAAGTATCGAGAACCATCTTTTAAATTATCTTACAGGCATCCTGAAAAGTGATGAGAGCGAATCAAGAGCAATGAATCTTAATAAGAGGTATCAGCTAGATTAGGACTTACCTTACTTTGAAATTAGGCTAAATTGACAAACGTAAAATGTGCTTTCTTGCAATACACCACAAGGGATGAAAATGTGCATGCAGGTGGAACCTTTCTTGAAATGCAAAGTAAAACTCAACCAGCAGATTTTAAATCATACGTTTTCACCTGATGTCAGGAACTGGCCATATTGGTATGCCAAGACAACGAAGAGGTGGAGATTTCGGAGCAACTAACCAATCCTTGTGGGAGTTGGTCCAATTTCTTAATTATGTAAACAATCTTTTGCCGCGATAAATTTGCATAGGGAGTGGCCAAGAGAGTAAAATTAAACGCTCTATGGAATCGTTACTTCTTTACAACTTGAGGCTAAATCCATGTTTTGTTTGGGTTTCGGCAAATTCATTCCAATCGAAACCTGCACATCGCTATGGAAAAGAACAAATTAAGCCTGTAAAAAGGCAGGTTTTAATTTCTTGCTTTCTTATCACCCTATGCCCCACTTAGAGCTTAACTATCACCCTCATTGGCAGCATCGTATGCTGGCGCGTTCTCAGAGGAGCGTAAATTTGAGATCATAAGTAATTTACAACAACTGGTACATGACACACATGGGTTGTGCAGTAAATCACTAACGAAATATGACACTTAAACGTCTTGCTGCTAAGATTACCCCTAAAAACGTACATTTGATTACATTGACCGTCGAAATGAGTGAAATGAATGATATTTAAAGCCTTAAAAACGGGTTTTATAGAAAATAAGGGACAATCACGTCCTATAATTTGTCTGATGTCAGTAAAACCCAAGGCAAATGTCAGTAGCCATTTAATTAAATTTTAGCCTATTTGTCAGTTGTCAGTTACAATTTTGGCCATTTATAAGTTGACAGTTAACCCCATCCAGACCCTCAATACTTGACCACGACAGGAAACGAAATTTTCTTCAAAAGAGCTAACAATTCGCTGAGGCTCGTAGGAATTACCGAAACACCTGGCGTTCTTCTCATTGATGGTTTATTATCATTATTATTATTATTATTATTATTATTATTATTATTATTATTATTTCTGTGCTCCCCAGAGCCTCGCTTTGGCGTCCGAGATTCGTCACCAGTTTTTCATGTGAAAACATATCGAAATTGGCTATTGCACGTTTCGAACTTGGAAATAAAGAACGGCTCGAAACCAACATAAAACCTTTTAATTCAATGCATTTATCTTAATGCCTTTTGAAGAGTCTATTAATAGCGCAATTTTTTACAGAATATCGGGTGCCTAAATGCCATCGATGCTGGAAAACCTTGCTCCACACTGTACTTTTCAGAGCACAGGCAGGCCATCCAAACTGTTCGACGCCGTGTGGTGTCACACGTGATATGTAACGGCCGCTCTTCTTCCCCCGACAACACTGATCATTTGGGATAGCTGCCGTTACTTTTAATAATTTCTTCCTTCGTGAATACAATTAAGTTTATTCCGACTACTTTCGTACTCACTGTAATCGGATACAATTAATACAAACGCATCAGCGAAAGAAAAAAAAGTAACGATGAACGGTAAATACACACAATATTCTAACTAACTGTTCCGGTACATATCTGTTTTCTCCCGTTTGTCTAAAGTTATACCTCCTTGTTTAATTATTTGTTGATGCCAATCCTCGGTACCCGGTTATGATATATTGAAAAAACACTATAATAATTATAGTAATTTACAATCAGACACTTGAAACACCTCATCGCTGGACCTCATCATGATACCAATCATGTAACATGTCGCTCCATGTAGGGGAATCCAGATTCTGGAATACGGGAATTTTTGCTTGTAGAAGCCGGAATCCATGAAATTTTTCCTTGTGGAATCCGGAATCCTAGGCTTTGAAATCCAGAAAACAGCTCAAGGAATCCGAAATCCCACTAACGATTGGAATCCAGAATCCAAGTTTCACTAGAATCCAGTGCCTAGAATCCGAAATCCACAGTGAGGAATCCGTAACCCAAGACTGTCTTGGATTCCCTTACAAAAGGTGAAACACGAACAAAACCTCATTTATTTACGTTATATTGTTAACAAGTAGAAGACGACGTGCTCAATTAGTTAGTGCTCTGATATACCCGATCGAATAAACGTGCGAAGATAGAACAGTACCACGAGCTTTTTGTGCGGATGCATTCCAACAATGGTTGAAACGGTTTTCAATTTCTTGGTGGGAGAAAACGCCGACAACTTCACCTTAGTCGTCACCAACAAAACCACTTTATATAAGTGCGATATTTGAGAAAATAATTAAGCCATAAGCTCCTTTCCAAAAAGCTTTTGGCTCTTATCGTTTACATTGTTTATTATTATTGATTGAAAAAAGTTTCTAAATCGAGAGTATATAGCAAGGAAAAACTTTACAAATCGAAAGAACCTGTTACAATCATAGTAACGCCATTAATGATTAGGATGCACGCTAAAACCATCTTCAAGCGTGCTTGATTGATATGTTTCGACAGCCAAATCCCAACCGGTGCCCGTAAAGCACCAATGATAGAGATAAAAATATAAAAATATTTATCCTCCCCTGTGAACCAGTTTTTGCTTGCATACGAGGCTGGTGGTGATCTTACAATGTAAGTGACCACACGAATTACAACGTTGATGGTGGCAACAACGGTTCCATTTGCCTTGATCTGACTCTTAGGATATTCGAAGAAAAAGAAGAAAATAATAAGGGGTGGACCACGCACACCGATTAACCCGCCTAAGAAGCCACTTGCAAAACCAGCCAGAAGCATCCAAAAGAAAACAGGGCGGAGAGGCCATAGCTGATTCTTGACTTCATGCCAGAATGATTCGGCCTCACGCTTCTCAGGGAACACGACATTCTTTTCGAGAACCGACGCTTAATTGTAACATGCGACGTTTATGATCCTCTGGGTCTGTTTCCTGAAGGGACGCCTTCTTTGCAGCTTTTCCTTCCTCGTTAAGTCGCCTAAACTCAGCAATCTCCTCTTCACTGAACTTGGGAAGTTGATCGGTATACTCAAGTTCATATCCTAGAATATTCATGACATGGCTACACTCTGCCTCAATTATCTTCACATCGTCATCAGTCAAACCTTCTGATCTTTTCCATTTGTCTTTTTGTGTTTCACTTAAGCTCTTACCACGCACAAGGTTTCTCCAAAGGGATGACTGGGAAGCCCTACGATACGCCTCCCTGCTAATTATCTGCCCATAAACCTGCTCTTTGTTTCCTATACCAAGAAACTGGAAAGGGGAATCCAAAGTTTCTTGTTTGTTCGAGAGGAGTGCTTCGTAGCTCAACTGGTGCATGGTTCCCTCCGGCACGGAATTGTGTAAATCAATGGCAATCTCTTGTAAATCTCGCCAGGTTTCAGCAATGACGTAATAGTGTGCCTCACCGACTGCTGGTACCTTTGAGAACGACAGGGAAACATCCCTAGGATCACGATGTAAGTAAACATAACGAAGCCTAGATCCAAAGTGCATTGACAGCTGCTCATGGAACTTGCCATAGCTCATTGACTTGCACATCCATGTTTTACACTCGTTACGGACTGTAAACACATCCATGATGGTTTCAAATACTGCAACAAGCGGTACAGTGCTTCCTTTACAACACTGGAAGACTTGCTCTCGATCAAAAATGATCCGCTCCTCGTTAACGTCCACCCATGGAAAGGGATTCTTTTCCACGAACTCGCACACGTGATCAACTAATGCGTGCATATTATCTTCTTGAAAAAGATCGCCAAACTTGTCTAAGATGGGCATAAAACTTTTCAAGATATGAGGAGGGTTGGGGTGTTGCTATGACTTTGCTTTCCGAGATTATAGTGTGAAGCCAATTGCTGCCCGACCGTTGGTCTCTCCTCCTGCTCAAGAGCTGTCAAAACGTTGTCTTCGACCACTTTCGATTCATTGTTCTTTTCAAGTCGCTTTTCTTTCCTTCTTTTCTTGCAGTACTCATGAATCTGCCAGGCTGCAACTAGTATCGTCAGGGAGCCAATCAGAACCTTTAAAGCCCCTACCGGAGTGAAATCTTGCAGGTATTGACCAAGCGGCGTTCCTGCAAATGTGATTGGAACAAACGCAACCAGTAACTCGGTACGAATGTTATCTCTTAGATAAGAACGCCATAGTGTGATTGGGAGTATGACAACGAAACCAATTGTTTGTATAAAAACAGCGTATCTAATGTTACAACAATCAAGCCACGCTAACGATCCAAGCTGATATAGGAAGAGGAAAACAATTGCCATTGCAAATCCTGTCGCACTGAAAGCGACATTTCCGAGGAATACGGCGGTAGAGAAGAAAGCGACCACACTGGCTGCGGCCATACTAGAGCGCACTGGGATGATAACCTGAAAAATAATATAATTTGGTAAGTATTAGTGTAAATTGGAGGTTGCTAGGTAGTATATTATCGTCTTTGCGGAAAGTAGCTTTTTTGTCACTCTCAGTACATCTCCCAATACTCATAAATATGTCAGGTTATTTGATTGGAAAATCACTTTGAATTCCAGGGCTCCTTTTTCCATACATTTTACGTATTGCATACACTTTATTACGACTCTTCTATACGGGTCTATTCTGACGTAATATACAATAATAACATATACAATGATAAAATTACAATGGGGCAAAAATATTTATATCTGTTACAACAAGAAATATTTACATGAGTTTGTACACAGTCAAGAAAAATGTGATTCAAGTATTTAAGAAGAGTTTCCAAGAAAGTAGGCGGGGACTTTCCTTTTAGAACTCAAAACATGGCTTCAATCCCGCTCTGTTTTGAATTCTTTCGGTGTCGTGTTGATGTCTTGCAGAGTTAATTTTCACGTAGTATGATCAGCATTGCAGTATTCTGCTTGCAGAATTTAATATGTCTACATTACTATTACTATTAGCAAACACTACCAATATTTAACATCTTTTCACTAATTCCTCTTTAAAATCTTGCACGATTTCAACATGAAACAACAACGATAAGAATATTATTAAATAGTAGTAATAACTAAATGTACGATATTCAATATCTTTTCTCTAAATCAAAATCTAGCGTCCTAAAAGTCCTCTTGCGACGCTAAAGTCCACCTCTTTTAATAATAAAATGAAGTGAAATACCTTCAGAGTTTGGCTAAGAAAAATTGAGGTGTAATCATTTTATTCTGTTTGTGACGGTTTATTTTTACAGCTGTGCTGGGCAAAAAACTTGGAAAATTAATCAATTTATGATAGTTTGCCAGTCATGTATTTGCTGTAAGGGCCACAAATTGAAAATCTTAAATTAAGGCTTAATTTTAGCAGAAGTTATGGCTTGTTGCAGATGTTTGTTGTCAAAATTGGAGAGTTGCTTGATAAAATTCAGGAATTTAATTTAATCTATTAACCTTGAAATTGGCAATCCGATGCTGTCTTTAAAAATCCCTTAGGACGGCCAATTTTCTTTTTTTTTTTTTTTTTTTTTTGAATTTTTGCACTGTACTACACCTTCGCTGATACACAATTGTAGGGCGATTTTCGTCTGATTCTGAGATGATTACGCAAGAAAAAATTAAAGCCCGCTTCATACGCCGTCCTGGAAATTAGCCAAATCGAATTCAATAAATCAAGTTCATGTGAAGTACGGCGTCTGAATCAACTCGGAATGGCTAATTGAATTGGATCGGCTCAGCCATTCTTCATGCCTGGCCAGCCGGGAATAACGGCTGTGGACAGGCAGTGATTCAGACGCCGAACTTCAGTTCGGATGGAATAAAAGCTAATAAAGATCGGCGTCTGAATCAATTCAGCCGGTCTAAATTAATTTGAGTTGGACTAAACTCGAATTTGATTCCGCTTATGTGAACGGTAAGGTATCTGAACCGGGCCAAATTATGGAACTAACAAGAATATAATAAATTGCTTCGGTTTATATTATCAACATAAGCGCTGCCTGCTCTTGGTTGTTTTATAGAAGCATGCGACGCATAATCCCTGCTGAAGCCCCAGAGAGATTGCTGAAAAGTAGTTTTCTATAACTTTAGGATCAGAAACTGGGGAGTGTCTTTCCCCTTGTAGGGGTTTCTTTGGCGGTGAAACCGCAAGCCCATGTTTTGATCTTTTTTAACTATTGGCTGATAAAACTAAAATAAAGAACAATCACGGGAAACCATTTTTCAAGTTTTGACAAAAATCGGTCTAAAATGTTTCAATGACTACATACAAAATGCCGATATTTTCTTAAGCTTAACTACACGAGCCCAAATGTAAGTCATTGAAATGAAAATAAAAGCAGAAGCGTCGGTTTGCATCGATTATAACATTCGTTGGAGACTGAAAATAATCTCACATTCGACTAAGACAAAAGTAATTCCGGAATAGTTATTTGTATCATGGATTTCATGAACAAAAATGATTATATTTCGATATGAAACAATTTATTTGTAACAATCTTGATGTGCAGTCAGGAATTGATTCGTTTAATTCAATGCACCCTTAATCACAGGTATCGAGAGCCATCTTTTAAATTATCTTACAGGTATCCTGAAAAGTGATGAGAGCGAATCAAGAGCAATGAATCTTAATAAGAGGTATCAGCTAGATTAGGACTTACCTTACCTTGAAAGGCTAAACTGACAGACGTAAAATGTGCTTTCTTGCAATACATCGCAAGGGATGAAAATGTGCATGCAGGTGGAACCTTTCTTGAAATGCAAAGAAAAACTCAACCAGCAGATTTTAAATCATACGTTTACACCTGATGTCAGGAACTGGCCATATTGGTGTGCCAAGACAATGAAGAGGTGGTTATTTCGGAGCAACTAACCAATCGTTATGGGAGTTGGTCCAATTGCTTATGTAAACAATTTCTTTTGCCGCGATAAATTTGCATAAGGAGTGGCCAAGAGAGTAAACTTAAACGCTATATACAATCGTTACTTCTTTACGACTTTATAGGCTAAAACAATGTTTTGTTTGGTTCAGCAAATTTATTCCAATCGAAACCTTCATACCGCTATGGAAAATAACGAATTAAGCCAGGCCCTGTAAAAAGGCAGGTTTTAATTTCTTGCTTTCTAATCACCCTGTGCCCCACTAAGAGCTTATCATGCTGCTGAGTAACAAGCAATGCACAAACAAAGTAAAGGCTCAGACTTAAAAACAAGGTACAAGGGCCACCTTTTCGTTGTTTAAGACCAGGAAAAATTAATCAGCGCGTAGTGTCGTGAGTTAGCCGGTCAGTACTCAGTCACTGGAGGCAGTAATGAAACCGGCAGTCGAATTTCGAAATGAGCAGTTTCAAAACAATTGGTAGGCCCTTTTAATCAGTCCTTAAAATCAAAATATGGTTTAGACGAACGCTAATAGAGACCATCAATTGCGCAAGGTTCCCGATACTTGGAGTTTATATTTTCTCTGTCTGAAATATGAATTAGAAATGATCTCCGACAAGAAAAAATAAGTTTCAATTGGTGTTTATATCATTGAACCGTAAAAACCATACAGTTATAGAGTTAACCCTTGCACCAGGAGCCCGGCAGGACAAAGGAAAACCGTGGTTAAAGCCAGGCCTGAAAGCCCGGATCACCCCGGCCATGGCCAGGCTGGCCAAGAGATAAAAAGTCCGGGGAACCGGGATGAGCAGGCCAGCCCGGCCTGGTCAGAACAGGGCCAAAGCCTGGCCTGAAAGACAGGGTGGGCTTTAGGCGTTGACCAGATTTTCCCTTGCACCTTGAATATGACTAAAAGCTTAACTATCTTGGCCTGGTTTGCATCTATCTGTGAGTTAATTAGCCCAGATTACAGTTTACGCTAACTTGTAAAGAGAAGCTGCATTATCTATTGCGAAAACTAGGTGAGACAAAGGCTAAGCTTCATAAACTGATCATTTTATTAACTCCTAATATGGAAATTATAAAGAGGCATTTTTGTGCATGAAAACCATCATGGTTCGTCTGCGTCGTCGACTTAAGGTAACAGCTGAGAGATAGCAGTGCGCAAACTTGCGTACTTCATGGTTGCATATTTTTTGTGAACGCTTGAAACATCCGGATTTTTCGCCCATTAATGACTAGTAGCATGTAAACTTCAACTACCTAGCATTCCTGTTTCTTAAAAGCAAGTTATTGTTATCTTTTTTGTTGAGAAAAGCAATGTTCTCAGATGATCCCTCAAGCTTATGTATCGGTCAAATCGAAGTTTCAACATGCCCCCCCCCCCGGGAAACCCCCCGAGCATTTGACTTTTTGGAAAATTGTTGTTCAAATTCCCCCCTACCCGGGCCAAAATGCTGTTCAAATGCCCCACACTGGGGTCCGTTCAGGTGATCAAATGCCCCAACCTCGGGGACATTTCACAGGCACAAAAATGACTGAAGGACGGCGGAAACGCCTTCAGTTGTCGAACAAAATCTTTATAAACATAACAAAAACTGAGAAACACTGTTAGCGTATTTACTACGAACAAAATTCTCGTGCAAAGCGGCGGAAATCGCTGCTACGAGGTCACTGAATGCTCAGTTTTTCTTTTCTTCTTGAGATTACTACATCATCATCATCTTGACACTCATCGCTCACCTTGTTAATTAACTTACTTGCAGTAGGTCAAAGTAGTTGACCTGAGCTTTTTATTTCATTTTATTCTATGTTGTTGTATTAAATCGCCGGTAGAGGTATAGAAATACGTTCATACATTCAAAGCCTGAATCCAGTATTAAAAATTTTAAAATTTAAATACTTCAAATACGCCACAAAGCTTGTTTAAGCCCTTTCCTCGTAACCAATTGGCCACAAAGGCACTACCTTTTCCACGAAAATCCTCTAACACCGGGTCCCCCATTGCTCGCCACGCCAAAGATTTTACATGAAATCAGGGTAGTTCAAATTCCCCACCCCTAAAGCATGGGGATCAAATTCCCCATCCCCTGGAAAACTCTGATAATCAAATTCCCTCCTCCCCGGGACGGCAAAGGTGTCAAATGCCCGGGGTATGCCCGGGGGGGGGCATGTTGAAGCTTCGATTTGACCGATACATTAATATGACGTAAGAAGAATCCAGGCCCAATCGGCTTTGTTTTGAAGTCTTCATAGAGTAAGCTCAAACTACAAGTATGCAAGTATGCGCATCGGGAGAAATAGTTGAACATTTAAGTGGGGTATGGGCTAACTTTAACGCCTGCAATAACCTGGAAATACCTAGTTAGCGGTCATCGGTGAGGAATCGCCGCGTCCAAGATGTACATTCACTAAAAATCACGACTTTCAGTGAGAACTTTTACATTTTTAACATCCTAAAATTCGCACACGAAAAGGCGTCCAGTTTATCACTAATTTAAGGTGTGGTAAAAATGGTTTTAAACAACAGAAAGAAGTAGAAGTGTAACGTCACGTTACCATGTCACCGTAGTAGCAAAATGTGTCTGGATCTCAACAATCGTCTTGACAGAGAAAGTCATTTGCATTGTTCAACCAAGGAAGAAAGGTAGGGGCTACGGCGATTTGTTCTTGAGTGCAGTCATGTACAGGAAAGTCAACTTGTCAATTTTTTCGGGTTTTTTTTAGGCATATTTGCAGGATCGCGATTTGTCAACATCCCGACAGTTTGTTACTTTTTTTAGATTTTGGGCAAGGCCACAATATTTTTTCGTCTCTCACAACATATTATAGCATGCAAAGAAATTTAATAACTTCTTTAAACTTTGCCACTATGATCGTCACGACATTTTATATCTTTTGTACTCGAAATATCGAAGCTATTAGAAATGTTCTTAACAAAGATATATATTACTCGTACATGCACAGTCTAAATGGTTTGCTAATGGGGTGATGAACGTGACACCTAGAGGTGGTCAGAGTACGTTGTGAGTGTTCGGGCCACGTAGTATCAACATTCTCACGCTAGTACCCTGTCATCTTATCCTGTGACTAAATGGTCATTGTTTGAGCGCCCGAGATTTGAAGTAGAAGTCGTAACCGTCAGAACATTAGGGAGCTTAAGCAACAACGACGGCGACGGCTACAAAAATGTCACCTAAAAAGTAAATTCGCACCGCTTCAAACTTTATCGCGCTTATTCCATCTCGTTTACTTCGTCAAATGTTGGAAAATGTTTTTACAGTTGAATTCTAAAGGACTGTATCAAAGTTCAGGACAAAACGTCCACGACAAAACGTGAATTCAAACGCTTTCACGTTGTACTCGGGCAACGACGGCAAAGAAATGTACAAAAAATGCGTGGTGCACGTGCAAAGTTGTTGTTTTGCTAATCAAACCTATTGCTTTTTTTGCCGGTCTCGTTGCCGTCCGCGCCGTCGTTGCTTAAGCTCCCTATTGTTTCATCTCTAAACCCGGAGGGAGGGAAAGGAGTTACTCAACAAAGTCTTATGAGGAGAGTTTCCGCCCTAATGTCCATCCCCTTACCTTTTCATACGCCAAATTTGACAGAAAAGGTAACCCTTCTGTTTACCTTCCGTAAAATGGGAGGTACCCTTTTCGCCTACCTACTTAAAAGCACTGCGTTTCTTTTGAATGAATTTAATGCCCGAGAGAGGAGAGATAAAAAAGCAGGTGGTAGATCATTATTTTTATTGTCTATTTAGTTAACTGGAAAGAATAAAAAAATTCAACAACAGGCGAAAGTAGTACAAAATACCGTAAGTCGGGGTGGGGCTATGTTAAGTCAATATTGAAATGGGCATGAGTTTGAATGCACAATACAAAATTGACAAAAATCAACACTAAGAAGACATCGCATCATATTTCAAGCCCTTTTGCTTGAAATTTAGAGTTGGACTTCGCCTTCAAAACACATCCACATCACGAGGTCTTGATTATACAATTCAGCTTTCCCCTTGAATGTCCCCTGAAACATATCATTTGAAAATATGTTAAAATACAGAAAGCATTTTTAATAACGTCGTTTTTAGTATTATTTAAAAGACCGAGGCCATTCCAGAAAGGAGGTTCTTTTTCACGAATAAGAAGAACATTCTTTCATAGCTTCCCTGACCAATTTCACCTTAAGAAAATGACGTCGCACACAGAAGCAAGATGCTAAGCATGATTCAAGATGGCGGCAGCGATGATGCGTTAAGGACATTCCATTGGCCTAAATTAACTGAATTCTCATGGAATTACAGTCCGCCGAGGGAAAAACGGCCCTCAATACCGGTGCGACAGTGGCGCCAACAAATATATAAATTATTTAAAATTTAGGGTGAGAGTGGCAACATGGGCATAGCTTAACACCTAATAGTATAACACGTTGGGGAATATCTTAGTAGCTTGCGAACAGGCTCTCTATTTGGGGAAAGGGTGAAAAAAATTTGCCTTCCCTCCCCTGGCAGTTTTTTCACCCTTTCCCCAAACAGAGAGCCTGTTCACAGGTTAATATCTTGGCAAATGCCTCATAGCTGTCTCTGGTTCATTGATCGAGGAGGAAACACGTAATTGTCATGTGTTTATTTTGATGAACAAAAATCTTGTACCTTTTCGTGTCAGTAGCCAAAACCTACAAATTAATGTACAGTTACACCGTTTGTCTACAAATGTATGCTAAAAATTACAATTCTGACAAATGAAAAAGAAAAGAGATATTTTGAAAGAGCTATTGAACAACAAATGTGTATTTTTCATTGTTTTCTTAACAATGAACACATTCATGTCACGGTTTGGAGAAGGCTAAAAGGTCTTTTGAGGAATCTTTCCTAAATACAAAGCCAGTTACATGCATGCACAACTGTTAATCACCTTAAATCCGAAAGGAATATTTCTAACTCTTTGCTTGGCTGTCCTTGAGACTGTGTCTGAAATGAAAAAAAGGAAAAAAATAGACTCACAGCAAGTTTTTCTATCAATTTTAACTTTATTTTCTCTCGTTAGTATCTAAAGTTTACTCAAACAAAATATAAAATCGCGTAATGCTAAAGGTAATGTTACACGAGACGATTCGCAAAGACGATTTTTACTGCAACGCAGCACTGCAACATAATGTTGCGACATTGTTTCGAATGGTTACAACATTGCTATAGCATGGCAACGAACACCGCGGCAAAACGTCTACGCATGCGCCAGTTTGAGCATTTCCGGTCTCTTTTTCAGTCACACTTTCCAGTCAGATCAAAGTCTCCCGCGCGCTCTCCGCTTCATTCTGTGTGCAGCTTGTGGCTCAGTTGTTCTGCTTTATGCTGCTCGTGTTTTTGACTATTTTGTAGTTATTGAAATTGCTTTTATGGATAACCAGGCACAGATCACTGAAACAATTAGTCGATTAGATTCAGAAAAGGTAAGATCATAACTCAGTGTGTAATTTTGGCTAGAGCGTCAGGTAAACTGATTTTCATTCACAAAATTAAAGTTTTTGACTGTTATTTTTCACTTAACCTGGCTGAAACTAAGACATAAAATTAAAACGTTATCATTGCAAGCTTGTGTATTGTAGTTCTAATTTTCAGTTCTTCAGTTTCTCAGTCTACATGTGTTAAAGCCGATTCAAACTTTATTTGGAAAACGACAACACACAATCGCTTTGTAGTTTTGTTTACCAGTGGGTTTTACTGTGTTTTAAAACGAAACTCTTCTGGGTTGATTGCCATGAAACATAAGCTTAATTATACTGTTGAGCCGGTTGGCAGCAAGTTGACAACTCTATTTATTGATTTTTCCATTCTCAGAATCAGAGAGCGAAAGCTGGTTCAGTGGCTTTTAGAAGTCGAACTTTTCATGCCATGTATTTAGCAGCTAGAAGTTTCGTGTTTGCACGAGATGCAGCCGAGCCGCACAGTCTGAAATTATTGAAGTCGTCAACAAAAGAACAACCATGTAAAAGAATTAAATAGGCATTTTCTTGAATGAAAGTCATTTATAGGCATGTTTAGTTTCCCGGTGACTGCAGTCATCAAAGTCAAAGTTGTTATTAAATCCCGCCCATCTTTTGTTTTGAGTTCTTGTTTTCTCTGATAATAAAACAAATTATTGAACGGACTAAAATTTTATTTCCTGGTTTTAGTGTTTTTATGATAATGATGACGTCTTTATTTTGGTTTCTTTCATAAGTATTGTTATTCTTTTCTTAGTTGTCGCCTTCTCCCAAATTAACTTTTTTTTTTTTTTTTGTATTTTAATGAATTTTTTGTTTTAAAATGTTTTACATTTTTTTTACATTCTGACTTATGAACACGGAACACGTAAAGAAAAGATACAAAAAACGGAAAGGAAAACTAAACATTATACATCGCAGACTAACACACAATTACATACTTACAAAAAAGAAAACAAACGAAACAAAAACCCAGTACCTTCTTTTCTATTTACATGAAAAAAAAAAGTAAAATAAAATAAATAAATAATAAAGATTAATAATAAATAAAGTAAGCGGAGAAGAGATCGTATGCTAATCAGTTTTATATTTGCCCATTTCATATTGTGGGTCTCCAACTTATTGTTTGACTCAGCGATCATTGTCTCTATTAAGAAGACAGTATTAATTTTGGAATGAAGAACTCTGATGGAGGGAGGATATTTGTTCTGTCTACAAGAGTATAGATATTGTTTTGCCAGTAATAAAATATGATTCACAAATATCTCATCCTCACACCCAATAATACCAAACAGTATATCTTTGTCTGAAAGATTTTCAATCTTGACTTTATGATCAACAAGCCATTTTATAACCTCAGACCAGAAATTCTCAGTATAATGACAAGACAGGAAGAGATGTTCGAGGGATTCGTCCGATTCACCACACAAGGAGCACGCTGGAGATGGTATAATACCAATTTTGCATAAGAAGGTATTTGTCACAAGGCATCTGTTTAATAATTTATACTGAAATTCGCGAGTCTTTGTATCTAAGGCAACACGATATGGCAAGCTATAGATCGTTTTCCAGTTCAAAGTATCATTGACAAAATTAACATCAAACTTTAGTTTAGCAGTTGGTGGAGTGACGATTCTGTTTCGAAGTTCTTTATAGACAATCTTCGAATACGCTTTTTCAAGTAAAACAATTTGACCACTTAAGCGTAACTTAATCTCATCACGCAAATTGAATGGTGTGTCACCTGTATAGATGCAGGATTTCAACGATTCACGCCATTGAGTTGGTAGAGCGTCTATTAAAGAGACAAGCCTAAAAGCATCCAGCGGCGAAAGGTTCAAGACTCTCAACTCGCTTTTGATTATAAGTTCATGTTTATTCGAGATTAAATCACCCACTCGAAAGATCCCTTTCTCAGCGAGATTTCGAAAATACACAGACTTGTCACCAACACAAATAAATTTGTTGTTCCATAAGATAACTATTGACAAGTCTTTTCCATTTAAATCCTGTATATTTAAATTATTTACCGCAGAGCACTTTGCAAAAGATTTTAAGCATTCTTCATAAAAGGCTGGTAATTTGATAGTCAATTTCTTCAAATCAAAGTCGCAACATAAGACTAATTTACCACCAACAGGTTTCAGATAATGCAAAAAGATTATTTTCCATCCACTCGGTTGATCATTTGCCAATTTCTTGCAGCAAAGTATTCTTTGTGTTTCAATTATGGAGTTTAAATGTGGGGCTTTAAGTCCTCCATCTTCGATATCACTGATAAGTGCAGAGCGTTTAACTTTATCCTTTCCTTTCCATATAAAATCAAAGATAATTTTGTTCGCTTCTTTCACAAATTCTTTATCCAATGATATCAAGCTCGTGCGATATAAGAAGATAGGGATAATAAAGGTTTTGACAATTTGAATTCTCCCTATGATAGTCAAATCCCTCCACCTCCAGATTCGTAGCTTAAGTTGGATGGAGCTGATTAATTCATTGATGTTTAGCTTTTGTTTTGCTTGAATGTCATAGGTAAAATGTACTCCTAAGATTTTAGCTGATCGTTTAATTTTTATGTTGTTCAGAGTGGCTTCTTGTACGGTACAGGCCAGGTTACCCAGTAACAAAAGCTCTGTCTTTTCGTGGTTAACCTTTAGGCCAGAGCAAGTTCCATAATCTTCTATAAGTTTAAGAAAGTTTGTTAGAGAGAGGTCATCCTTTAAAAACCCAGTCAGGTCATCTGCGAAAAGACTTAATTTGATCTCTTCTTTATCGACTTTAATACCACGAATGTCATTACTGTTACGTATGTTAACACATAAAACTTCTAATGCTATAATAAATAAGTAAGCAGAGAGAGGATCTCCCTGTCTTACTCCTCTTTCAACTGCAAAGGATGAAGTTGCAAAGCCATTATTCAAGACACAACTCGAGACATTCTTGTAAAAAGTGTGGATCCATTGAATAAAAGATGGTCCAAAACCAAAAACGGATAACGTTCGAAATAAGAAGTCCCTACTAACTGTGTCAAAAGCTTTTTTAAAATCTATACAAACCATTCTTCCGTCAATACTGTATCTCTTTGAGAATTCCATAACGTCCTCTATGGTTCTGACCGCGTCGAAAATGGTTCTACCCTTTACATATGCAGATTGATTGAAATGTATGATGTTTGGTAAAACATTCTCCAATCTCTTGGCAATGGCTTTTAAGCCGATTTTAACATCAACATTAATAAGCGAAATCGGTCTCCAGTTTGATAGGTCCCTTTTGTCTTTGTCCTTCTTTTCTATTAGGGTAATAATGGCTTCTTTCTGAGAGTTTGAGAGCTCACCATGATCATAAGAGTAGTTTAAGCTGTCTACTAATAGCTGTCCTAAGAGGCCCCAAAAAGCCCTGTAAAATTCGACTGTTAGTCCGTCATTGCCTGGTGACTTGTTACTTTCAAACAACTGAAGACTTTTGTAACACTCTTCAACCGTTAATTTTCCCTCGCAAATTTGAACATCAGTATCAGAGAGTTTTGGCATTTCAGGATTGTTTAAAAAAGAGTTTAACGTGTGTTCAGATGGGCTAAGAGGGTCACGCTCACAAAGATTAGAATAAAATTTTGAATTTCTTGCAATATTTTTTTAGGATCCGTGATTAGAACTCCATTATCGTCAAAAACCTTACGGACAGAACTCTTAGCTTTCTTATGTGTTTCAAGGTTTAAAAGAACTTATTGCTTTTTCTCTTTTTTCATACCAAGTGGCTTTCGATCGGATTATAGCACCTTTTGCTATCTGCTCATAGATAGAATCATATTCCATTTTTAACAATTCAAACTCTTCCTGGTTCTCAGGAGTTGGTGAACTACCGCATCTCTCTTCCGAAATCTTCAAAGAAGCCTCAATATCAGAGATCTTTCTTCTCCTTTCACGTGCTTTTTCTTTGCTATACTTTATTGTAATTTGTCTAATCCTGTACTTAATTAAATCCCACAACAGCCTTTTATCTATAACGTCTTTGAACTCCTCTAACCACAAAGGCATACTTTCATTTATCAGTGCAACAAAGTCGTCGTCATTTACAAGACTAGCATTAAACTTCAGAAAGAGGGGCCGTGTTTTGGTTTGTCTATGCTATTAAGATGGAGAAAAATTGCCGAATGGTCTGAATTTATCGAAGGAATGATATCGGACTTCTCAATGTCGTCTTGGCATACATCGCTAATCAGCCAATAATCAAGTCTTCTTTGAATGAAAGGATTTCTTTGACGCCACGTAAAGCGTTTAGAGTCCGGATTTCGTATGCGCCAAATGTCAACCAAATCAAAATCCAGGCATAAGTCTTGTATGTGTTTTACAGAATCTTTTCTGAAAGGTCTACCACCGGAACAGTCAAGATCAGAGTCGAGTGTTACATTAAAGTCTCCCCCGAGAATAATTCTAAGCTCTTCATTAACGACGCAGTCTTCAATATTTTTGTTTAACTTATCAAAAAAACGGCATTGGTCTTGAACCTTGTTTGGAGCATAAATATTTACAAACAAAAATGGCGAACCTTGGACCTCAGCTTCAATTATAATGGAGCGGCCTTCGTCATCACAACTAATAGTTCTTGGATTAAAATCTAAGTCACTTCTCACTAGAATCATCACTCCACAACTATGATTAGAGCCGTGAGCAAAAAAGAGCTTACCTCTCCATTGTGTTCTCCAAATGTCTTCAACGTCAACAGTGCTATAGGTCTCTTGAAGGAAGATAATATCATACCTCCGTTCATTTAGCCAGGTAAAAAGGGCTTTCCTTTTCGTGGCGGCTCGAATCCCTCGCACATTAAGAGAAAGTAATTTAAAATCAAAAAGTTCTTTCATGAATGGGATCAGGAAGAGAAAATAAATTATGCGCATACAAGTAATTTTCACCGCAGTGGTACAAAAAATTGAAAAGAGGTGGCAACTGAGGTGCAAAAACACACAGCACGTAGGTAGACAATACACACAAAACGCACAAATACTCACAAAACAAAAAACAACAAAGGAAATAACAAAAGGACAAATAAAACAAAGAAAAACAAACAAACAAAGAATACATTACACAACGAAGTTTTAAGAAAGAGCGAAAAAAGGCGGCGAGGTAATTATTACCTATAAGACGCTGCCACAGAGCTTGGGACAATCGTTTCAACTACACATGCCACTCCCGTTACAAAAACTGATGAAAAGCATAAACAAAGTCAAATAAAATAAACTTAGTCCAAAAAAAACCCTAGATTTGTCTATAAGGGAACAAATCGTCCATCGATAAACAATTTATCGGGTTCTGGTTTGCTAAAGAAAGCAGTCTTTCCCTCCTCTCTTGCTTTTTTGAGACGTGGCCACTGCTTTTTTCTTCTTTCGCTTATTTCTCTTGGAAAATCGGCGTAGACCTTAATGTCGATATCATCAGCCAGCTCACGTACTCTTCGAAAGACCAGCTCACGCTCTGGAAATCTCAAAAAACGAACAATCACCGGTCTAGTTTCGCCCGTCTTCTTCTTTCCTATTCTGTGAGCTCGCTGGAATTCAATATCTGCTGCGTTTTCCATCTCCAATTCGTCGCTAAGGAATTTTCGTACAACTTCATGCGTGTTCTCAGCTCCATCAGCAGATTCTGGAAAACCGAAGAATCTTAGGTTTTCTCGCCTGTTGTACACCTCTTGATACAATATTTTGTCCTCAAGTTCCTTGATTTTGACTTCGTTTTCTTTATCATTCTTCTTTAGGTCTTCAATTTCGGCGTTTGCAAATTCCATTGACTTGCTGAGGTCGTTAACTTCGCCTTCCAATTTTCTTGTCTTCTCGCCAGTCTTATTCAGCTCAGTTTCGAGCTTATTAACCGACTTCTCCAAAGCGGAGAAGCGTTCAAATATACCTTCTAGATTCTGTAACCTGCTTTCTACTCCTGCGAGCATTTCGAAGATCCGTTCCAATTGTGTCGCGATTTTTTCTGTCATGTTCAGGGCCTCCAGAACTTGATCGTCCTCGCTAAATACTACGCCAATGTTCGGTTCCGAACGAGGACTGTTGCAAGCCTTTTTTCCTTCTGGAGAGCAAATATCGCTATCAGAGCTGATACTAACACTTGCCTTCGTTTTCCGTTTACAACTTTGAGCCATGGACTAGGTTTAAGGACTACAAATTTTTAAGAAAGGACAAAAAGTTCACGGGAGTGAAACATCCGTCTTCACTCGCACATGGTCGCCCCCAAATTAACTTATGCCAAACCAGTGGCATGCAAGAAAGCCAGTAAAAACAAATTCGTCTTGTCGAGCGCTCGCGACCTGCAAACTTCAAACATCATTTTCACCGTTGGTGCAAACAGATAACCATGTGGTGCAAAAGTTTGAGAATAGAAAAATATATAAGCTTTCGAATGAAGTGATTTTTTTGGCCCCCTTTTTTGTCTGTTTCGCCCTTTTTGCTTTTAAACTTGGCGCGACGGCAAAGTTATGCTTTCGCCATTGGTTTATATACTAGACCGGAAATAAAAAGCTGACCGGATATTAAATTTTGTGCTCATGCGCATTGCGTTTTGCCGCGGTGTTATGGCAACGTTGTGTTGCGCTTAAAATCGTCGTTGTGTAACGTCACCTTAAAGGTGATGTTACACGGAACGATTCGATTCGCAACGAAGATTTTTAGCGCAAAAGAGCGTTGCAATAATGGAACAATGTTGCAGCAACTCGAAACAATGTCGCAACAATGATGCAACGCTGTGTTGCGCTAAAAATCGTCGTCGCGAATCGTCTCGTGTAACAAGACTGGACGTTTTCTGTTTTTTGTGCGTACGGGGTCGATCACACTTAATCCTTTGCAACCGCCATTGTAAGATGGCCAAAAACCTACATAAATATTTTTTCAAAACAAATGCAAATGATGGAAATTAATAGAGTTGTAACTCCGTGATGAGTTATTTTTCCTGGTTCTGATGCCTGACTCCACCCACCCCTTCCATAAACTCATAAGCATAGAATCAAGGCTTATTTTTCAGGCTAGAAATGTCGCTAAAAATAGGAAATTTTAAAAAACATAACATAACGTCGTTGACAGCATATAACATCTTTTAACGATGGCAGTTGTAGTTTTCAGTCGTTCCGTATAAACGTTTAGAAATGTGTGCCTTCACCAAAGGCAAAATTTGGCAAAATTTGAGATCCCATGAATACCAACCTCCTGCTGGTAGACTGCAAAACTTGGGCGACAAGTGGCAGAATTCATCTGTTCCTTTCAGAATAGTTGTCCCATCTTCTGTGGTAACTCTATAATGAATCGTCGAGTAGTACACATCCACTTCTGTGAATTAGACACATCAAAGTTTAAAAACTGGCATAACTTTGAATCACACTTTAATCTATTCATATCAAGCTAAAAGCGTATTTAAAATAAGCTAAAACTAACCAGACATCAAAAATGACCACTTCATGCCTGATAGTTTTTTCTTTTCTCTGCCATACGCCCTAAGCTTCCTTCTTTAGCTACTGAAAGCACAAAGTTAAACCGTGTGATATATGGTTACATAAATGAGTTGCCATTTTTCCTAAAATTTGCTTTACGAACACTTCACGAAATACTAATTAAAACACCGCTTTACTTAAACCTTCTAAGCTATTATGATGGCGATTGTAAGTAAACTTGCATAGATGCAAGGAAACCGACGCTTGAGTGTAAATTCATCTGAATCGTCGTTGTCACAGTCCTTGTGTCGATCTTAACAGTTCATAGGCCCCCATGTCCTCGCAATTAGCGCTTACGCTTTCCATTCCATGGAAGCATAAACAATGCAGAAAACAGAGGTATGACAAATATACTTACGGGGAGTGAAAGTGAAGTTGACGTGTACGTACTGCCCCGGTTTAAGAACTGGCCATGGATGGATGCTGTAATGTAAGGTCTTATCTTCAGGACCTGAAAGACGATAGATCACAGTATATACATGTGCAGTCATTATGGGTCGCTACTTTCAAGTCGTTACTTTAGGGTGTTGTGTTACTTACGGGCTTCAAAATTAAAACTTTTACCCACAAAGCCTATCAAACAGCTCAGAATATCTCGATACTGTACTGTACTGTAGGTTTCGGTTGGCTCTTTGCAATTCTGGTAAATAGGTGACTGATCATGAATCACGGAGATATTCTGGACTTTTCGTGCGGAACCGAATGCTTTGCAAGGGCTTTCCTTATCTTTTCAAGGGTTCTATTAGCAAGCATCAAATGCCAACGTTACTTTCGAAACCTTTCGTTTGTCAACCTTTTCTTAAACTCACTATGTTAATCATCCACAGAGGCCTAACCATTCTCCTTTATCATTCATATTGGTTGTAAAAGGATAATTTCTTCTATGATTTTCATTGGTATATCTTTTTCGCTACTACAATCTCGGCCCATTTCTTCAAGGCCGCATCAAAGCTATAATTCACCGCGCAGACTGATTACAGTTTCCTATATTTCCCCAAGATCGTGGTCAACATCGTCATCTTAGCGTCAAGACTATCAAAGCTTAACCTTGGGGGCAGGAGAACGAATTAGGAAGAGACGCTATAAGCCCCGACGCCGCCTCTCGGTGCATTCGAAACCAAGATGGTGTTGTAACATTGAAACCTGTGGGGATCCCCCTTAGGGGACCCTGACTGACTTACATGCGCACCCCGAAAACGAGGAACTGCGTACGTTGTGTTTTTGACTTGCTTAGGACACGAACATTTCAGAATAGTCTTTACTAGTTGTTGAATTTAGCTTCATTGAATGATCTTATAACAGATGGCGGCCCGTTATAGCTAACACTTGATCTCGACGATCTTTAATTTATTTCAGAAAAATAGGGGATTGATGAGAGTCTACTCACCGCAGTATTTAACGTATTTGACTTCAAGTGCAAATGCCAACAACACCTTTCCCAAAAGAACAATCACAAGTAAAGAGTGGGCTCTCATGGCTCATATATATGCAGTGTAGATTAATCTGCAATTAAATAAGTACAAAAGTGGCTTGACTTATAAAGAAAAGGCTTGGTTTATAGGGGTCGATCAACATTTGGAATCAATCTCAAGCTGAATAGTTAGGTTGTACAAACACTGAAAATTATTTTTGCCATTTCTTTCATCAGAAAAGACGTTATGAGGGCTACCTTTACACAACTCCCAAATAAAAGCGCGTGCCATTCTTCATGAATTTAAAATTGATTCAGGCTGGTCAATTTAACACGCCGACGCACAAGAAAATCCACATTTCCCAACGGGAGACGGTTGGACCTCCCCCGACCCCACTCTCCTCGTTTGAGGTTTTGCTGTGCGGTGATTCTTTTCAAAGACTTAACGTTTTAATAAGTATCAGCTAAAGCGGAAAATATTCTTTAATTTCCTATTGGGGTGGTGCTTCATATAAAGTCAACTTTTGAATTACTTTTTGTTCTCTGCACGATTTGTGTTCGTACAGAAAACAAAGGATAACGCAGAAGTGAGGTTTACATAAAGCCCCACCCAAACGGCAGTTTACAAAATATTATGGTATTTTCCGTTTTGGTGAAAGCTCTTTAGTGGGAGTTATGATACTGCTGGTCTTGACAACTATACTTGGATTAACTGAAAACTACAGTGGAACCTCGATATAACGAAGTTCTCAGTATAACGAACGATTTTCTTTACCCTAGTAATAGTAAACCATATGAAAAAGAACCTCGATACAGCGAAACCTCGTTTTAGCAAACACATTTTGCCAGTCCCTTGGCCCTTCGTTAGATCGAGGTTCTGCCTCATGATTTATTCGTCAAATTAACAGTTTACAAGAGAGCAATTTTTCATGCATACAGGAAGTCTAAAATTAACATCTTGTTTGAGTGTGCGATTTAAATGTGCCAAAAGCTCGCAACGTTAAAACTAACGGATGTTCATCTAAGCTATTCAATATTGAAGTAAACCGAGATTGGAAAAACCACACTTTCCGTCTACCCAAAACAATTAAAGAGAAAGAAACATTACCAATGCATGAGTATATATATCATGCAAAGTACATACGTTGTCGATGAGTGTTTCTCCCAGTATGTTATTTCCCTGTTTTAAAACGTCTTTTAGTAATATCGCTTTTTGCGCCCAGTTTTCCTTTGGGAATCAGATCAAGTCCTCGTTGGTGGCTCTGCCTTTCTTTGGAAAAGATTTCTTTACATCTACCGCAGGACGTCCTTTGAGTTTGCCATATCGCTCATTGGCATGAAAAAAATGTAGGGAATGAAAGGTAGAAAGTTGACGATTTGTGTTTCGCCCAATATGATATTTCCCTGTTTAACTTCTGTTAGTAATATTGCTTTTTCTGCCCAGTTTACCTTCGGGAATCAGATCAAGTCCTCATTGGTGGCTCCGCCTCATTTGGTAAAAATATTTCTTCACATCTACCGTAGGACGTCCTTTGCGTTTGCAGGTGAAGTTATGGTGCCTTTTAATATATCATAAGTTTTATAAAAGATTAGAAATTCAATTGATGTTTAGCAACAGGAAGATATGTCGTAGTTTCGACCTTTTATTCCCGGCCTTTTTATCAAGCCAATCAGCCATATCGCAAAGGTCGAAACTAAGACATATCTTTCTGTTGCTAAACATCAATTGAATTTCTAATCTTTTATAAAACTTATGATATATTAAAAAGCTTCATAACTTCACCTGCAGCAGAAGAAGAGAACATCAAGACAAAAATACAGCAATCAGGAGCAAGGTAAAGATAGAAGTTATCATTAATATTAGTATTGTAATTACTTCTATTATCAATTTTATATCTGCAAAACATATCACGATCATGATTCTTTTTATGCTTAAGGTGTTTCGATACAGTTTTTCAGAGGCCATACCGATATTTTTCAATCGCCTTAAAAGTGGTTTTTTCCTTGTCCGATCGCTAAAAAAATTTTCACTGGTAATTGGCTATGGATTGAATTTGTAAAAATGTAGTTTTAAGTAAAATCGATATTACTATGACAACAATAAACAAAAAAAATTGAAGTTGATAAAAGCCGAATTTTGTGTGATCTAGACCTGCTACTGAAAATCCAACACTAGGAACTTAAAGTTTGGTGTTTAGCAAACATTCTCCGTAAGAAGTAAAAAATTGTTTATGTTTGAATTCGACTGAAACGAAAATAAATTTCAAACCTTAAATTCTCAATCGCCGTGATAGATTATTTAATCAAAACGTTATAAATGACTCAAATTATTCTTAAGTAGCATCAGAATGCTGCTTAGTATCATATTTTGATGCTAGGAAATTTTGGTGTACTTTCGTTCTCGCGATCTTGAAAACTAACCCGTTTTCTCACAACCTGTATAAGTGCAATTTAATTCAGAATTTGGACCTTTAGCGCTTTCTTGTATATCTCTGAAACGACTCGAACGAATTTTTTTAAAATCTCTTCACATAATCTTCATAATGTATATAAAAATGTCTGAAACTTCCATTAAGATTGATTTACTGCAACAGCTTGAAATTTCAAGACAAACCTATCCTACGAACCGGTCAAAAATCTGCGTTACAACATTCACTGTTTTGACGTTATGCTAATTTTTCCAAAATAATGCGCACTATACATACCTCCATGACTAGTACATTTTGAATTTATCGCATCTTTTGAATGTAAAACATTGACAATACTCACACTGAAATGTACTAGTCATGGATATATGTATTGTCCGCATTAATTTGGAAAAATCAGCAGAACGTCAAAACAGTGAATGCTGTAGCGCGGATTTTTGACCGGTTCGTAGGATAGGTTTGTCTTGAAATTTCAAGCTGTTGCAGTAAATCAATCTTAATGAAAGTTTCAGACGTTATTATATACATTATGAAGATTATATGAAGAGATTTTAAAAAAATTCGTTCGAGTCGTTTCAGAGATATACAAAAAAGCGCTAAAAGTTTAAATTTTGAATGAAGTTGCACTTAGACAGGTGGTGAGAAAAAGGGTTAGTTTTTAAGATCGCAAGAACGAAAATACACCAAAATTTCCTAGCATCAAAATATGATATTAAGCAGCATTCTGATGCTACTTAAGAATAATTTGAGTCATTTATAACGTTTTTTTTAAATAATCTATCAGGGCTATTGAAAATTTAAGGTTTGAAATATATTTTCGTTTTAGTCGAATTCAAACATAGAATTTTTTACTTCTTACGGAGGTTATTTGCTAAACACCAAACTTTAAAGGTCAAATGAACCAAAAAATTGAAATATTTTCTTTTGTCGCTATACCTTCACCAAACACTAAAGAGAACCATCCTAAGTGAGATTTGGGTAAAGATTTTTCTTCCCAAGTCTTTATAGAAAGATAAAAGATCAAAATCCGAGCATTTCCGAACACTTCACGAAAACGTTTCTGAAATGGCCGCGTGATAGACTGGAGACTATGACGTCAATGTTGGTCTTTAAGGGCGGAAAAAAAAAGCTTCTGCGCATCCCTTATCGCCTGCGTTTGTTTGTCTCCTTCTGTGAGAGTTCTGACTGAGACTGAATGAAATACACGAGGTGCGAACGTTTGCTCCTTGTAAAGGCTATTTTATTGGTTTTTGTTGTTATTGTTGTTTTTTCGTCACTTGAAAATTACTTTGGATTCAGAACAACCAATGTTAGAGTAAAAACAGATCATTCCGTCAGTCTGACGAGGAATAAAACGTTTTGAACATTTCAAAAGAGGTTTCATTCGATTTGTGAATTGATTTTGTGTCCAGTGCTTTGCCTTCTTTCGCCGGAGTGAATTAAACTGACCCGCTTGTATTCTGTTATTAGTAGTTACAGTTAGTTTTTTACATGCCCAGATTCATTTATCTTTGCAGAACCAGCTTTATCCTTGTCTTATGTCAAAGAACCGTGATGCTAACGCTTGCGAGTAAACAAACTTGAGCGCTTAAAACTTCCTCGGAACTATACAAGGCTAGCAAGCTTATTCGAGAAGAACAGACTACTTCGATCACTTCTGTTGCTCAAGTAATAATAGTCAGAGTATTTTTTTTCTTTTTTCATTTTTAATTACGTAGTTTTGTTTTCTTTCTGTACTAAAATGTTCGTTTTCTCTCGCTGTGAAGTAGCTGAGAACGACAGCTGCCGGCAGTGGCTTCAAAACAATTAACTCTTTGCCCGTAAACAATTGCTGGAGCTGGATTTGACTGAAGCGAGCAAAACAAACCCTTATGTGCAGTTTTCTGTATTTTCTAATGATTCAGTTTGCTTAGTTTAATTTGCTTGATTGAAGACCCTCGCATGGACCAGTTTTTAAAAATAGCTAAATGGTGAATCATGGCTTGGGTGCAAAGCTTGCAACTGATCTTTTGCTTTCAAGACCTTTAGGTAGGTTATTTCGCACAGAAAATTCACTTCTTCATTGTCAGCAGGTATAAGAGCCTGAAGCCTTATGTTTTTTGAGTGGAAATTTGTTGTTTTGCAACCTTATTGAAGCTTTTTTTAGTTCACTGAAGCTGAATTTTATACATGATGGAATTGTTCTTTGCTTGTCCCCTCTCTTTGCGAACTTAAAGTGGCCTCTATGGTCCTTAAAGTGACCTCAGTTGGTAATTAAGTCATATACATAACTGGAGAGAAGTTTTTGCAATAATGCAACTTCAACTTTGTTTGAAGGAAATCTTACTTGGTTTTTGAGAAGTGTTATGCATGTTCAACTTGACAACACAAAGCATACTTTGTCTGCGCGAAACGATCAAGTTTAAAAAAGCTGTAGTTGCTTTGAAACCGATTTTGGGGAAGATTTTACTAGATAAAGATTAACTCTTTTTCTTCCCACACATCAACGCCAAAACTTCTACATGGAGGATTTTGTTTATATTTCAGTGTTCTGCGAAGCACAAGTGTCCGATCGAACGTGGGTTTCAAAATATCAGCTCGAGTGCGACAAAATTCAATGACTTCAAACACATTGTGAGCAAGCGTGAATTTCTTTAGGCAAAACACTATGCAAAGGTATTTTGTTTTTGTGTCCACAGTGGAGCTCCGGCCCTTTTATATCCAGAAACGTCTTTATATGAACACATTTTGTGAATACATCTTGAAAAAAATTGGACCTACGCACGCACATTTCCAGTACACTGCAGTACAGCGCAAGGACATTAATGCCATCGTTAAAGTCCGTTTTACTATGATGTAGTCTTCGAGAGAATTAAATAATAAGGTTATAACCACAGCTTGCAACTTTTGAAGAAAAATAGCTTGTTCTTTCTAGGTTTATGGCCGCACAAACCATCTGCGCCAAGTCGACTCGAAAAACACTGTTTTGAATTTCCCGCTTTTTTTCACCTGACCAACATTGACGTCACAAGCTGTTTTTACCGACAATTTTTCCGACCGCTCTACGAAGATAAAAGCCAAAAAATAACAATTTTTAATTGCGAATATCTCAGAGATGCTTGCTTCAATTGAGCTGAAACTTCATAGTATGTTTATTCGGTTCGTATTAAATATATTTCACTAGAATTGAACTAAAATAAAAAATGTCGAATTTTTGGTTCATTTGACCTTTAAGTTCCTAGTGTTGGATTTTCAGTAGCAGGTCTAGATCGCGCAAAATTAGGCGTTTATCAATTTCAAAGTTTTTTGTTTATTGTTGTCATAGTAATATCAATTTTACTAAAACCTACATTTTGACAAATTTCAATCTATAGTCAGTCATTGGTAAAAATTTTATAGCGATCAGACAAGGAGAAAATCACCTTCAAAGTGATTGAAAAAGACCGGTATGGCCTCTGAAAAACTATATCTATAGTAAAGAAATTTTGCAATCAGCAGTTGAGAAAGCCGTTTTTAAAAAGATGAGCTGGTCCGCATAGTGGTGCTTTTGACATTCAAAACTTGAGATTTGTTTTATAAATGGCTATCTGCGAGAACCGCTGGAAAGGAGTAGGTTTTCCACAACAAAAATTTGTCGAACGCTTCTCATGTACTTTGTTGTTGCTTTTTGCAAAACAAAAAGACAAAAATAAAAGCAACAACAATAACACCTTTCTCTGATTAAACAGAATTCAAGGGAAAAAACCAACCAATGCAACCGACTACAGCATAAAACTATAAGACCTCGTGCGAAAGAGCGAAGTACTATGATTATTTTCAAACAATTTATTGTAACGTACAGAACAAAAGAGCTAAGCAAGACGAACAGACATGATATGGATGGACAAACTTGGACATAATTAAGATAATTTCAACATCGATAACTCGAACCATGTTTTAAGCACGTGACAAATCGAAAAAGAAAGTTTACTTCAGCCCAAAAAATTGAGTTTTTTTCCCAAATACTACTAACTGTGTATTCCTTGTCTTTTACTTTTAGTCAGTGCAGTTCGAATTCCTGTCCAGTCCTGAGTATTAATCACATTTTGAAGTGTGCGTGATACTTACATTCCTTCCCCATCCCATTTCCTTATTTCCTTATTTTCCGATTATTTGCTTCGAACTCCCGCTAACTCG